CGTTGAAACCACTTGAAGACCATGGTCCTGCCTGGAGCATCATCCCCGATGTTCTTCTTCATCTCTTCGAACGCCTGTTGCGGTTTCAAACCGCTCCAAAAATGGTAGAGGAGGATCACTCGTTTTTTTTCCGCCGAAAAGTTCAGAGTCTCGTGAACATTCACAGCACCGTCTCGCTTCTGACAAGTCTCCATCTTTCTGTATGGTATTGAAAATTCTAAAAAAAAATGTTGAAAGGGCTCAAGAGATATCAATTGAATGGGCCACAATCACTCATCACTCAATGGTGCCGAAAAATGTGAAAATCCGCGAACTTTCCGACCTCCCCACGTACAAGTAATATCATATTAGAATAAAATGTATCCATATAAACATCAGGATCAGTTTCCAAGTAGTATGGAGCATGCATTTGGTGCTGGTGTATATATGTTTCTAATCCACTTTTCCCATCCATTCTCTCTCAGGATTAGCAAACCATACTTCAGCTTATGTGTGAAAGGAATTGTTTGCTTCTGTTGTCCCATTTTATATGCATCAGTTTGACATTGTCGATGAGAGCAATAGTAAAGGCTGGAATGATCAAAGTCGGAAAAATTTGTATTGTTTAGCATTTGCTCATGGTCTTGATAGGAAACCAATGGCAGAGTTTCCCAATAACTTTTATACCTGCTGCAAGTTGATATGCACTGTATTACTCTGTACTTCCTTTGAAATTATCCTCATGTATTACATAATTTTGTATGCTGCTTATTGATGAAGTGATGAAGTACTACTCACTATGACCAATCCATCATACAGCCCAAAGAAGCATGATTACCCTGTTGGTAGATTGCATGGTCTGTGGGTGTCAAAATTCCAGATGTCCAGATTTTTCTAAAATAAATCCTTATACTAGATGGTGCTGGAAAAATGCATCCTGTTTGTTGCTTTATAAAACCTATTGTAGAAATGCTTTTTTTATTGGATTATTATATAGTGAAGAAGACTATAAAATTTGTTTTTTGAAAGTTTTCTAGCGCCTAGATTGTTTGAAATAAAGGTAAAGAGCAGTAGTCATTCAGGCTTCAATAAAATACCACTTTTTCAAGTATCAGGTTGCAGTGGTTTTCACAGCATTCTAGAGATGTGTCTTGATTGTCACCTAAAAGCCTGATTTTTATTACTGTATTCTTATTGTAGTTCTCTTGACTGTACAATGTATGGAAGGTTGTTTACACCTAATGGGAACAAATTTTAACTGGCCCCAGAGGCTTTCTTGAGCTAGGATTAATCGAGATAGCATAGATATCTTGAGATAGCATAATCTGTCAGTCCATATGGTATTGTAAGTTTCCAATATGATAGCAAGAAGGCTTGTGCTTGCGAAATTCCGACACTAACCAACAAGTTACACATGTGCCCTGCTACAAATAACAAAATCAACAGCAAAGACCTAAGGCTGGAGAAGAAGTACAGGCCATGTGTTCACCAACCATCCTTTGCCTTATGTTGCAGCAAGAAAAACTAATTGCAGAAAGCTCTACATGAACCATCTAGCAGGTGACAGGTGGAAATATGTGATCACCCTAGATCAGGGGTGTCAAACTCAATTAGATTGGGGCCAGATGGAAGCCTTCAGGGGCCACTACAAAAATGTAGCACCTTATCTTTAATGCAAACAGGCTGAAATTTGCAGTTCGTTTCCATAACCAACTGTTGAAGAGGACTTCGTGGGCCTGACAAAATGGACTGGCAGGCCAGATCCAGCCCATGGGCACCAGTTTGACACCCCTGCCCTAGACATAGCATGGATTTACCAAAGCATGGATATGAACAAAGTTTGAGCCATATACAGGGTGTCCCAACAGTAGTGTCATGATTTTAATGATGCAATACCATAAAACAAAGCAAAGGAGAAGAAAGTCAATATTCTTACAAAAATCTTGCCCATCGGGAATCATTATGCAGTTATCAGGTCTACATGTTATGCCTTAAATGTCTGACAGTAATGCCTACCAAATATCCTCTATCTTGCAGTCAGTGATTGTATCCCCTGCAGTACCATAACCTTTCTGTGAAGGACCTATGGTTCCAACAGAATAGCATATGTTATCAAGCCTGGGACATGATGACAGTGTTTTGTGCCATTTTCCCCTAGCTCATTCCTGTTTTGATGACTCACATGGTCATTGAGATTCCCAGATTATTTCATAATAATCTGGGAATCCTTTTAGGTGTAATGCATTGGTGATATCCCTTGATAACTGCATAATGTAACTCCTGACACTTCTGAGTTTCACAAACATATGAACTTCATTTCACTTTGCTTTGTTTTCTAGTAATGCACCATTAAAAACCTGAACCTGCTTTTGGGACATCCTGTGCTATAGTTCTTGTGGTGAAAAAGCATTTCAAAAGTGGTTCCTGGAGTGGAAAGGAAAGTTTTTTGCCTGGATTCATGGTCGTTACTGGCTTTTGCTATAATGGGAAATTGCAGATCCACAGTGACCAAGAATGCCAAGATTGATTCCCAATATTACCAAGAACAAGTTCTAGGGTCAATTTTGGAAAAGGAAATCCCCCATCTGTATAGACCAGAAGACTCCAAAGGTATCTGTGCACCAGGATAAGACCTTGAGCTGCACTTCCAGGACAACTCCTGCCTTCTTGCACTTGATGAAAAGTCACAGGAATAACAGCAGTACCATTCACAGCCATTCTGGTAAAATCCCTTTATGCCGCGCTGATGGACTTCTGTGCCTTTGGCTTGCTGAAGCAAGCCTTAGGAAATCAGTCACTTTGCAATTTTAGATGATCTCTGGAAAATGTCCAAGGAAAAAGTTTGATGCAGAGCTATTGTCAACAACTGATAGAGCTGTCAAATACCACATAGAGCACAATCAAGAATGGAGATGAAACCTTTAAGGCATTCAAATCTCTTACAAATTCATTTCCATAAAGTGCTAACAGCCCTATTTATTCATGTCAGATCTGAAGAAGAAAAACATCACTGCATTAACCCTTTAAGTACTATGTTTAGCAGAGGCTTGCAACATGCTCAGAGTTTTTTTTAGCAGTTCACTTACCAAAGTATGTGACTTGAATCTTGCAATACGATGAACCTAGCACTAAATCTAACATAAAATCCACAACAGTAGTACTCATTTGCTAAATTTAAAATCATGTATCTGCAACCATAGGCTGGAGGAACAATACTGTAGCTGGTGTGGATATGTGAGTGGATACATGACCAGACAAGCTCACAAAGCTGAAATTCCCTAAAGAATGATTTCTTGGAAAGATGATTCTGAAGAAAATTCTGCTTTTGAGATCTATTTCTTAATGGTACAAAATCTTGTGGAGAAAATTCTGAAAAAGTTTACTCTGTCCATTTGGGCAGTTCTAGAAATCTGAAATGTGTCACTGAAGCATCTGTTGGGGTGACCATTTTAGGAAACTATGGATCTATGTTTGTTTGTATGCCAAAGACATTGCATATATGGAAGTAACATGACAGAAGAATCAAAAATACCTATAAATTAAGAATTTCATCACACTGGTTAAAAACACATGTTTCATATGAATTAATAATTTTTTTATTGTCAAGTGCCATAGGTGTGACCAGCTGTTGCCTGAAGAGCAAACAAACTTGCTAGTTTATGAAAAATCGTCATGTTACATTAACATATTGGAAGGCTCATGGAAGTGTTGACCACTATATTACCTTGTCTCAATCACCTTAAAAGAATTTCAGACTGTAGGAACTCTATCAGCTGTCTTCTTGCTGATGCCATGATTTTCAAGCAGCATCCTTCTAAAGGTCAAAGCATTGATCTGAATAATTGGGTGGTGTTGCAGGTCTTTCTTTGCTTACTTTTTTGACACATTCAGATACCAGGTGGTACCATTGTTCTTCACAATGCCAATAAGCCTCTTTTCATGGTCGTTGGAAGTATACACACTTACACCAAGGTGATCTTTACTGAAGTGACATGCTTCATGTAGGTATGTCATTCAGACATGTCTCTAAAGTCATGGATGTGGTTCATATCAGGTTTTTTGGGTGCTCCATTCCGAGGCTTGAGGAATGGGGAAGACCAATGGGGTATGAGATTATGCAATACATGTAAGCAGTTTTGAAAGAAATGCAAAGCATCTTCCTGCCATTATTTAGCAATTTTTTAAGATGAGTGAAACTCACTTGAACTTTGAAACTTTCATTATGTTAATGGTGACATTAAAAATAAGCTACCAAACTTGAGAAAGGAGAATTCAGCACCTCTATTGCTATCATGTCATCTTGCAAGAAATTATCACTTTCCTATCTGTATTTTCTTACTTTACCAGCACCCAGACCAAGGTGATGGTTAAAGAAGAAGATGGTGGCCCTCCCCTAAAGGGACTGAAATTTGTCATTGACAAAGGAGTGACTGAAGCTAAGCAAAAGGAGGTAGAACTAAAAAAATTTGGAGCAACAATTGTGAAGAAAGTGGATGCCACAGTAGCTGCTGTCATCAGTACTCCAGGTGGGAAGTAGGAATTTAAAAGCATGTCAATTTCTCTCAATGCCTAGAAAAACTTGAATCTTTGCATTTGGTGAGATAGCAATGTCTGATCATTTTCTTTTCAGGCCTACTTATCTGTAATTGCTCCTTATTTTCTATTATAGTAACTTTACATTGTCACTGGATTAAATTTCCCTTGTACTGATTGAGAGGGCTGTTAACCCTTATAGTGCCAGAGTCAAAGAGCTGGCAATAAAAAGATTAAGAAATGTATTTCACCAGAGTGCTTGACCATGTTTATCCTCTCACTTTAACCCCTCAAGCCAGAATTGAAATGATTAAATGCTTGTTGCAAAGAAAACATCATGTGTACAGGGTATGGCAAACTGGCCCAAGGAGCTAATCCTTCTTGTGCCAGCTCTTTGACTCTGACATTTTAAAAAGAAATTTGTAGTGTTGATCTAATTGGCCTCTGCACTAAAAGGGTTAAATGAGAATTGAAAGATGGAAATAGCTTGACCTAGAATGATATTTTCCTTAATTTCTTGGTTGAATGTTTATGGAATCTTGATCCTTGCTACATTTTAAAACTTGATGGAAGTCTCATGGAACAATAATAGAACAATAATTGCTAGTGGAGATCTGATGGGTTTATTTTATCATTCTGGTCTTCATCATCATAGACATGTTTGGGGTCAGAATTTTGTACCAGATGCTAGATAATAAGCTTCAGTCTTTGGGATGCAAAGTGATGGTTTCCTTGCTTTTTCTGGCTTTCATTAAAGAGCCAAATTGTTCGTACTTGACAGATTGAGTTTTCCCATTTGCTTATTTCCTACCTGCAACATCAATATGATGTTGCAGGTGGGAAATCATCATATTGATGTTTCTGAAAATTTTGGCCTTTTTGACCTTGGGTTAATTGAATATGTTTTACAGGGTGATACAAAAGTCCTGTACACTCAGTTTTTTAAACAACTAAAAAATAGGGACAACGCTATTAGAAACTACGACTATTTCAACATTTAATACCAGGAAAATTACTCAAAATAGCAACCATTTGCTTTCACACCATTGTGAAGTCTTTTTGGAAAAGCATTGGCTGTAGCACAGTGTTTCTTGGGAGATTTTGAGCTATTCCATTTGAAGGGCAAGCTTCAGGGACTTGACCAGTGCATATGGAGTAGCACAGGCTTTGTTCTTCAAGATGCCCCCCCAGAAAGGTCCAATGTGTTCAGGGCTGGACTATACAGAGGCCATTTTGCCAAGGTGATGAGGTCAAGGAATTCTTCTTTGCAGAAGGCCTGAGTGGTCTTTGCCTTGTGGACTGGTGCATGGTCCTGTTGAAAACCCCATTTGCATTTCACAAAGTGCTGTTTGGCCCAGGGCTTTACTGTAACCACCAGGATGAGGTCATGGTAGACAGTCGCATTGATCTTCATGCCAGAAGGCACAAAAACCAGTGGTGTGTGTCCCTCTACAGTGTTACCCACCAACACCATCACAGAAGCTGGCATCTGAGTGCTAGTAACATGACAGAGGTCTGGAGAGATACTTGATGACTGCTGCCCACACTCTGTCATTTTGAGAGTTATAGGATTGCTTGATTGTGAAGAGTTTCTCATCAGAAAGTGGATATAGCGATAACTGCCATCTGCGAACTGGTGGAGCAGCAGCAACTGTGATTGTTACAGCATAGTCTTCTTCACTTGTTCCATGGGAAATTGGGCATTATGGAGCTTGAAAGGGGGGAGATTCAACTTGTTCTTGACCATTTTAGGAGCGATTTTCAATTCATTTTTGTCGTTATGGCCATTTTTCTCAACGATTGCTTCAGATTTGAACAGTTGAGATCAGACTCTTTTGATGTTGACAGTGGTTGACACAGACTTCAGTTGACCTGATTGATGATGATCCTCAGTAGAGTTAATCTCAAGGAAGCACTTGATTTGATGAAGTTCTGGTTGTGAACATTGTTCTGGAGCAGCCGGAAGGTCTCAGTGGGAGACTTCCTGGATTCATGCAACTGATGACAGCAGACCAACAAACTTGATTGGATGAAATCATGATGAAACTAATAGGGGTTCACAAACTGCAGATGAAACTAAGTCCCTTGTACCTTAAGTTTTATATATTGAATAGAATAGAAATCAAATAGAAATCAATAGAAATCAAACCAAACATTTTTGAACATGCTATCACAGAACCATCTGCAGTTCCTTAAAGTGTACAGAACTATTGTGTCACCCTGTATAATACAGCCTAAAACCTTTGCAACTATGAGAATGAGTACATTCTAAGCCATTCATTATACTTTTAATAATATTCATGAGAGTAACTTTGCAACAGTCTTTCTGTATTATTAATTGTAAAGTCAAGAAATGCACCCACTGAGAATACTCCCATCCCATCACAGCTTTATCTTGGTATAATTTTGATTGCAAATATCATTGAGACATTCTTGACTAAGCTTACAAAAGACTTGAAATTCTCTCCCAATTTCTCTATGAAATAAAAATATAAGTGATATTTGTCTTTGGGGGCAGAATCAGGATCTACTTGGAACAATATCAACTTTGGAATCATATGTTTAATGGCACATTCCAGAAAGTAACTCACATCATTATATCTAATAGTCTAGGATATGTTGCTTATATTTCAGATGGGAAAATTATAATGTCCTCTCAGGTGAGACAAAGTGGAGTGACACCCATAGGCACCTGTGATTTACAGAATTCTCTAGTTCCTGTCATCTTTGATTTTTTGATTCCTTGAATGTGACCTGTATCCAACTTGGAAATAGCATGCTCTCTAGTCAGCTCTTTTTTTCTGGAGCTATGAAATTTAGAAATGAAATAGAAATAGAAATGCACCTGTTTTCTGAACATTGACAATGCATGATATACAGAGTGTGATGGAACCTTGGACCCTAGACATGATTCATAAGGACAGCAGTGATACTTCACTTAATAACCAGAGCGAAGCTGAGCAGGAGCATGCAGCCAGACAGCCAAAATTATGAGAATGAACCTGGTATTTTTTCATCTTTGTAAGCCTGCACCAACATGAACATTTTGATTCCCAGACACCTCTATTAAAGAATCCTTCCATGTATGGTTACATTTGCTCAACTGTCATACAACGTAATGTCCATTCACTGGCATATATTTCAATATTCCAATGCCAACCTGCAGAATGAGGTTACACCCATTGTTATGAGTGTCGGGTAAACCAATTGTAACTTTGGTTCTTTTCCTTTAATGTGCTGGTAATTTTTCTCAACCAAAATTTCTGCTAATGAATGAGTATTGTGTTGCTTCATATTTTGCTTCTATTCCATTTTTCCACTGGTTTGCTGAAATACCATTCAACTTCTCGAAGTTGTAAGTTATTTTGAGCCTTGGCTTATTTAAAGTAACACAAAGACAGTGCAAAGTGGCATAACCCATATGATGTATTGCATGAATGTACAGCTATGCTCTGATTATGTAATGCTTTATTTTCATGAATGACAAATTAAACTCTACCAGCATAAAAAGTGGTATTGAAGCTGAAAGAAGCAAAATTGCATGCATTTCTTTTTTGATGAAAGAATGTATAAATATTGCTTATCAGCAGGTGCTCATTATGTCTGTGGAATTCTGGCTGTGGAAGCATACCAGTATCTTGCATTATTTTGAATTCTGTAAAAAAAAAATAATAATAATAATAATAATAATAATAAATAATAAAAAGATTTTCAAAGCTTGTACACAGGGACAATGAGAAGGATAATTGATTTAAAATTTTATGGCATTGCCTGTCACATGGTTTTGCAGAAGTTTATGCCTACACCACCTGAATTTGTGATTCTTTTCCATTTCACTTTGCAATTTTTTTTTTCCAAGTACAGAGTATGATAAAAAAAATTTATAAAATGTTGTGAAACCTTTTACTCCTTTGCTAACCATTCATGGTTAAAGCTATGTAAGAACAGTTTGATTTATATATTTTTCACTGAAGTTACCAGTATACATGGTGTTTTTCTTAACATGTTTGCAGTCTGTCTCTGAAGTTCCCAGCTAGATTTGCAGGCATATAAAAATATTCTTCTGAAATTGGCAGCATCTGGAGCCTGAGTTGTTGCGATCAAACAGTAAATAAGACCTGCCCAACAAAGCAACTGATACTTGAACTAGATTGAGCTTTCTTGATGTTAGCAGATATATAATATTCTTAACCACTTCAATATAGGCTTTTTTATTATTTAATTCAGAATAACAAATACCTCGACACCTGTTGATTTTGGAGACCCAGATGTCTGTATGACATTCTGCACTCTCGATGTCATATTATGGTCTGTACTGTCTATATGTACTGCTGGAGAGTGTCTTAGGGAAAAGAAGTTTTGTAGATAAACAATGCCTGAGAGTATCTTAGGCAAATCATGGATGCAAGTTAATCAATTTATCATGCATAGCAATGAATGTGTTGAAAATGTTTGGCAAAGTTTTGTGAAAAAGTCCTTTAATGCCTGGCAGTGGATGTGTGGAAAGATGCCACAACCTACTGGAGGATCAAGTGCCTCTTTAACCCTCATCCGAGCAAGCTTTTTTACAACCTATTCCGGGCAAGGTGAGTCTGTCAGACTCGTGTAAAATAAGGCCGTTTGCTGCAGTTACGGTATGTATTCTTATAAATAACAGTACTGTAACTAAAATAATACAGACAATTTATTCAATGGTCCTGATAGTTTAAAAAAATAATGACAGTAATAGACCGAAATATGTCGTAGTGAGTCCAGCGGACTCACCTTGCCCTGATTACGGTTAAAGAACAATGCCCAGGATTCACTGGTGGATCATTTGGCTATCTATGTTAACTTATTCTTTTAAGGGCTTTAACCTAAGCTTGCAGAGATTCCTGCATGTTGAGTCTACTCTGCATGTCAGTCTACTCGGCTCTAAGATCGGTGTGTCAGTTTCAGCTGTGGACAGGTAAAAGAGCTCTTCAAAATGCTCCATCCACCTCTGAAGTACAGGGTGTCCAAAAAGAAAATTAACATTCCAGGTTTTTATTTTTCTACTCTTATATATCAACCTGAAACGAAATATTCATTTGGCAGTTAGAAAGAAGGAATGCTAAACTTTTCCTGAAAACCACATGAAATTCAAGCTATTTTGAAGTGAGACATGGAAAGTCAAGTGTATTTGCAAAATTCAGAGGCACCAGCTCTACCTCTTGCTGCCTGGTTGAGCAGGATCAAGTAATGTATGCGATTCTGCTTTGTGCTGCTGGTTTTTGTCCTTTCATCTGAAAAATTGCAGAGATGTCTCAAAAGTCAGCACAGTAGGAACTTTGTTTTTAATATATTTTGAACCACTTGAAGGAGTGCTGGGGGTCATAGAGTAACACACCTTCAAGATATCCTTCAGTGACAATTATAGTGGGCAAATTTGAGTCTAATTTTCATACTTCCATGTCTCACTCAAAATTGATTTATTTTATTTTATTTTATTTTATTTTATTTTATTTTATTTTATTTTATTTTATTTTATTTTTTATTTTATTTTATTTTATTTTATTTTATTTTATTATTTTATTTTATTTTATTTTATTTTATTTTATTTTATTTTTTCTTTTACCTTTTTTGCCTTATGTTAAGGGTGACCAATGTTAGCATGGTGAAGATCCTAATCCAACTGCATGGGTTTTTTTTTACTTGAGCAGAGGTACTCCAGAAGCAGAGTCGTCAGGTCAAACATGCTGCTGAGAATCAAGTTCATGTAGTTGGTGTGGAATTCCTTCAAGAACTGTCCAACAATTCTGAATCTCTTGCAATACCCACTGTCTGTGACATGATCCAAAAGCAGTCCATCTGTTCTTGGGGATCTGATGTATGTCCATTTTCTTTCATCCTTCAGTGTTTGCTCTTTAGCTCATTTGAACATCATTGAAAGGCATGGAATTGTCTTCACAGTCAATTCATGTAGGCCAAAATTTGACATACACAACCATCACAGATCATATTGATTGTATGTGGTTGTATAAGAATGCATTGTGCATACGTAGACTCTCCTCTTCAGAGGTAGTTTAACACACTCAGTCTTACTAATACAACCCTTTCAGCCCAGTCATTTCATTGAAAAATCAAGATTTTACAAATATATAAACTATTAATTAGCTACTAGTTAAAAATTAATGTTAAATTTTGTAACTAGAATGCACTCCGACGTATGTAGAACATGTAGAGAATATGGTCACATGAGCAGCGTTCAGAAATCCAGTTGTAAAAAAAATTGAATGATGACATATTGGAGATTTCTGATTGTGGGACTGAATGTGTTAAAAGGCAAAACTTTAATAGTTCATTAACACGTTGGCGACAATGCGTCCTGATGCCAGGATGCAGATTTTTTTTCAATGAATACCCNTTGGCGACAATGCGTCCTGATGCCAGGATGCAGATTTTTTTTCAATGAATACCCTCTGGAACTGTTGAGAACGTTCCAGAAGATTATGATTTCGTAATTACTGATAAAAATTCCAAAAAATTCAACATTTTAAAAAAACTCTGCAAAAAAAAATGTTTTCTGGGACCATGCGTCCTGATGGCAGGACGCATTTTTTGACAAAAAAAATGCACGTGGTCCCACGCGGCGGACAAGCAAAATAGGCTGGTCGTCAACATGTTAAGAAATTCCTTTGGGAAAAGGGCTACATCACGGTCTTGATAAATTATTGAAAAAAATTGCTGAAACTTTATTGATTGGCAGAAAACAAGGTAGCGGTAAAAAACAAGGTAAAAATCAAGCAGCAGAAAATATTGAGACTGTGCAAGAAGTGGTTCTCAATCAAGAAGGAATCAAACTCAAACTCATCAAATGATGAGCATGATAAAAGTACAGTCAAACTTGGTTATAACGAAACCTCGGTTATAATAACGAAAAGCGCCAGGTCCTGGTGTAGAGCCCATAAGGCATTTCTCCTCCAGTAGCCTAATTAGAGTCTTTCATGAAAGATATTTTATTCCTGGATGAGTTATATAACATAGCCTATTGGTCAGTCAGAGCATTCTTCTATGAGTGATGATGATTTGGTGTGATTGATGTTTATGCCCAAAATTTAGTTTTCTCATGGTCCACAAGGCAAAAATGTAATCAAATGTCCTTGTACCACATTGGTCTATCTCTTTGTTCATGTCAAGTATAGCACTTATTATTGTTTACTGTCATTCCATTCCTTTTTGCTTTGAAATAAAGAAAATAATTCGCTTTTGTAGCCAAGAGCTCGCATAGATGCAACAGGGAGGAAATCAGCCAAGAAGAAATCTTTTGGAAGCGCAAGTGAGTGAACTTTAAACTGTCCCACTCACACATTAACTCTTTTAGTGCCACACGGTCAATCCATGGGCTTGATCAACTATATAGAGTTCCTGTGCCACTAAAAAGGTTAAGTTATTTAACTTAATTTTCTTATTTCAGTTAGTCATGTGGTCATTGTAATCATTGTAGCCTTCCTATGTGTTTAATTAAAAGCAGGCATATCTAAATAGGACTCTTCTTGTTTTCCTCCTCAACATCACCTTATCTTAAAGAATGCTTTATGGCTTTCTGATTTTCCTCCATTGTTACTTTTTTCATCTCTATCCCCACTCTGATTTAATGTCCCATCAATGTAGGGGTGGTCTTTCCAATAACTTCACTAGTCTACCCTCTTTTCATACTGCAAGCAAAATCAGGATCAGCTTCCTTCACATTTCTTGAATTCCAAAGGAAATCTTACATCTTCCCAGCCCATACTCTTCTCTCTGAGATTATTGCCTTCTCTGAGAATTATCTTGAGAATTCTTTAATTCTATCATTGCTGGTCTTCTGTCTTCTTGCTTTCTTCTGATTCTATACCATGACACCAGCTCCACTCTATCTTTGATCTCCAATTGGTTTTTATGGAATTCTGCTATCTTCAGCTTCAGGCCATCTGCAGCCATGTCCTCTTTGAGGCTATGAAGCAGAATATTATCCCCCCTAAGTTGTATCTCCATCTTTTTAAGTTCTTGTGTCAATGAATTCCTTCCTTGCTCTGTCTTGCTTTCCGATGGTCTCTCCCCATGGTGCCCAAATTTTTCTTCTTCAGCTGATCCAATATATGCTTGAGTATATTTTGCCTGTTCTCTATTTTAGCTAGTGTCTTGTCCATATTTTCAGCTACTTTCCCAAACTCCATCGTAATATCTTCTTGTTACTGCCTCATTTCTACTCATAGTCCTTCTATCTCCTTCATCACCTCCACCAACAGACCTTCCTAAGCTTTCTTTGCTGATTTCATGCTGCTATTCTAAACTTCTCCTGCACTGTCCTCATAAATTTCTCAGCTAGAAAGTGACACTTTGGGTGGAGCAAGATAGATGTTGCCTCAAATGTTTGCAATGCTTCTGGGCATGTAGACCCACAGGAATAAGTCCAAGTTTTGTGCATGTGCTACAGGAGAAAATGACCACAGCCTGGTCTAAGTAGTCACCTTCACATTAATATATCCTTTCACATCAAACTCATGCATCAACCATTCTGGATAAACACTCCATTGCCAATATTCATAGTTGAAAACTGATTAGTCAACTTGGCAAGACAGGAACTCAGCACTATGACCCAATGCCATGATAATCTCCTAAGAATTTTAATGCATTGGTCTCCTTGAGCATAGTCTTGCTCTTTATATGCATGCATGACATATGGGAGTATGATACACAGTTGGAGTACATCTCTGCCTGGACTTCAGCTGTCACTTTTCTCCCAAGAGTAACAATTGGCTTTTTTTGCTCCAGTTCATCAAGTCCAGAATTGTGGGCAGGTACGGGCCATACATGGGAGTGCAGAACAAAATATGAAGTTGCTAGGTAATGCTTGGTAACATGGGAGTTGTAAATACAACATTGGCCCATAAGCACAATGGAAATGTCTTCCTTTTTTTCTGCTTGAGCAAAACAGAAAGTTATAGAAAGCTAAAGTTTTGTATGCAAGTAGTAGAGTATTAATTTCAACAAAAGTCTTAATTTTGAGGCAAATTCCTTCAAGGCACATCTTGGGGGAGGGGGATATTTTTAGAATTTTTTTGCCCAGCAAAGCAGACAAATATAGAGAGAAAATTTAGTACTCTAGTTTTTGAAATATTGATTTCATTTTAAAATGATACTTTTTAGATGCATCCTCTCAGAACATTTTCACTCCATTGAAATGGGAAAATATTGAAAGATGAAATTTGGTATACAAGTAGTTCTCTGGGTACTGATATAATTTTTTTTTATTTTTTAGGTTTATCTCCTTGGGGCACATTTTTTTGAGGGGAGCATATTTCCAGAAATGTTTTGCTTTAGCCTTTAACTACCGGAACCTGTAGTCATATATTTAACTCATTGTTTCATCTCTTCATTCCCAAAGAATCTTTTCAAAATACCTTACCTAATTACCATCATATGTCTTCATAAAAGTACAGTGTATCAGACTTCACAAGTTCGCAGTATAACCTGCACAAATGGCTAGATTTTTGTATCAAGGTCCCTTGAACCCAGAACAATAATTACAGGGTTGACAAAATGGGCAGATATGGAAAGCAATAATTTAGAAGGCAAGTGTTCTCAGGATATTGATTTCAAGAAAAATGCGACTTTTGATGGACACTGGACATAATTTTGGGGTGGAATGATTTTCCAAGAGCATTTTTGCTTTTGGAAAGCGAGGTAAGACAGGAAGCTGAAAGGCAGTTAGCCTGTATAGTTCTTGTGATACTGATTCCAGAAAAATGTATATTTTTGAGGTACATCCCCTCAGTGTGCATTTTTGCACCTCAAAACAGGATGGCCCAGAAATATAAATATACAGGGTGTACCAAAGTGAATGGGACGATTACCATTTTCCTTATTTAATTAATTGGACCAGGTACAAGGATGAAATAACATTGTGCATTCAAAGAAATACTTCAAGTTTCCCGGTAATATCGTGGTTCATTTCCTGGCCGCTGCAGTGCTGTCATTACCCTTTCTGTAAAATGGCGTCTCAGCAGTAAAAAGTAGTGTTGTTTGTGGTTTCATGAATTGAAATCTGTGACTACAGCTCAGTGTCACTTCCAAACATTTGGTGTTGATCTACCTGACAAGAAGTTAATCAGATGTTGGTATGACGACTTTGTGTACTAAAGTTCCAAGTTCAGTGCTGGCTCTTCGGGTTGACTTGTGTGGACTTCGAACAAATGCTTCTCTGATTTGATCCACTTGTTGTTCACTTGTTGACAGCCAGCCAGAGCTCTTACCTTGACAGATGAAACCTTTATTCACGAAGTCGTCATACCAACGTCTGATTGACTTCTTGTCAGGTGGATCAACACCAAATGTTATTCGGAAGTGACACTGAACTGTAGTCACAGATTTTGATTCATGAAACCACAAACAACACTGTGTTTTTTGCTGCTGAGATGCCATTTTATAGTAGGGGTGATGACACCACTGCAGCGGCCAGGAAATGAACTACAATATGTCACTGGGAAACTTGAAGTGTTTCTTTGAATGTACGATGTTATTTCATCCTTGTACCTGGTCCAGTTAATTAAATATGGAAAATTGTAATTGTCCCATTCATTTTGGTACACCCTGTATTTTAAATTTGACAAATGTCAAGTAGTAAATGGTAGAGGTTGGTTGCATTTTCCCTGTGTAGCTAGATCAGTCAACAAGAACTGATGGAGTTTCCCTCATGCACACCAGACCTAACTCTATTGGTTTCCTTGGAAGGTTATAGGATCATGTGTATTATGATGAGGATCATGAACTTCAACAGCTGCAGGAGTTCCTTTAGGTTGAGAGTCATCTATTATGCTAGGACATATGTTATACAATCTGCCAATTAGTGATCAATCATCTGAAACAATGCACTAGGTGCAGTGGCATCAATTTGACCATATACACTAGACCTCATGTTTCTCCATAAACCTATTTGTGCTACCCTGTGCAGAGATCCATGAAGGAATAGTCTTGTCTTCACACCCAAAGCCAAAGCCAGTTTACATGCCACCAAAATCATTCCCTTCCCATTATTGTCTGCTTTGATTTTCAACTTTTTCCCTTTCTGTGCTGGTCTATTCTAGGCTCCATGTTTACCAAGAGTGTCCCCAGTTCAATGAAGATGCGTGTGAAAGGAGGGGGAGTGGTTGATCCTGAATCAGAATTGGAAGATGTTGCTCATGTGTTGAAGAAAGGAGGCACACTTTATGCTGCTGTCCTGGGAATGGTGGATATGACCCAAGGCACTAATTCCTACTACAAACTGCAGATCCTCAGGGCTGATCAAGGACCACAGTATGTCTATGGTTTCCATCCCTCCCAACCTTCTATATCCATATTTTTTTTTATTGCTAGCCTTGGTCTTAAGGTCTCAATGCATTCTTTGACTAAATTTCCTTCAGCATGCCTTGCTAAAATGTTTAGGGACAAGTTACAGGAGTGTTTTGAATTAGTTTAATAGAGAGCTGGTGTTATATAAGTAAGTGCGTCCCACCTGGAAAGCGAAAAAGTTATAAAGCAGTGTTATTGATTGTTCAAAATGATTATCTCAGTACATAATCTTGAATTCAAAATAAATTGTTTTCAATAACTAACTTATTTTGAAAAACTTCCCTTTTTCCAATGAAGCACAACAATATATTGAGCCATAACTTTTTATCTTTAATTAAAATATGTTTCTAATTATTTATCAAGTGTTCCATTTTCCTGTTCTTGGGCTTGAAGAACAACATGATGCCATTGTTAGTATTTCTTTGCTCTTGGAACTGGAAATGATGTGTCTGTGTCAGAAAATAATTTTTTAGCATTTATGCTGTTGCAGAATTATTCTCTCCAGTGCAAGCCAGGGATTCTGTACAAGTATAGTTTGGCATGACTTTAATGCTTTAGGGGTCTCCAACGCATGGATACATCATTTTTACACACTGCATCAGTGACCTAGTTTTTAGTTCCAATGCCTAAAATTTCTCCATAAACCACACATTAGCAACATCTTCCTGCAGAAAATGAAAAAATATGTGCATTGAAATCATGTGCACAAATTAATTTGAACTCACTTTCATTTTCCTCTCTAGGTTAATTGGGATGCATTGGATTAATGAAAAGCTCTTACCTTGAAACACTTTGACCTTGTAATTTGGAATAATTTTTATTTGATTGTAAGTCATACAGGAAAGACTTTGCATGAGTCACTTGCTTCAATACTTTGTGTCATATCTTCTTTGAAATGGCTTAAGGTTCAAAAGATATTTCCAAAGTGTTTCTCTGAAGTCCTGAGATTGTTGCCCTTTTTTGTAGCATTCAGAATGCAATATCAACACCATGCTTGGCTTGGTGTTGAACCTAGTATTACTAAGAAATTTCTAATGAGTCAGGGAGGTAAGGGATGGAAACTTCTAGTGTCAGAACAAAATAAGATTGATTGGAAGGATATAATTTTGCTAAAATGTCAGAGCTGAATATTTTGTTGCTAGAAATTATGATGGATTATATGGTGTGGGCCACAAAAATATGACTGCTTTGAAATGCTTATGAAAACCACATTGTTTGTGCAAGAAATGTATGACATGGTTTAATTGGTAGAAAAACTCAATTTTTGCCATCATCTTTGCAGATGAAAAATAGGGCAACTGATCATATAGCAGAGAATATTCATTTTAGAGAAGCATGTGGAGTTTAAATCAGTAATGAGGGTGTATCATGCCTACAGAACTGTTCTGAATTTCAACTCTTTCAAATGAAACTCTTCATGTGGCAATTGAACATTTTGCCATGCAGGTTTGCATCAGCAAACTGAAGACAGGAGGACCATTTGAGCATACATTTTGACATAATAAAAATTTGACTTTCTCTCTCAAGTATACCTTGCCATATACAGTGAGGGACAAAACTGTTGCAATGTTCGACACATTGCCAGTTTATGACTCATAACTCGAGTATGATGAGTTCAATTTTACATAAATTTCAGTCAATCATACTTCCTACTTCCTGGTTTTGGATTGGTGCTTGTCACATGTCAATTGGCCCCCTATTGGATGAGCTGCAGCTGTTGAAAGCTAACCAGGTCATTGCAACAGTTTTGTCCCTACGTCCCACGCTTTCCATCCACGATATAAAAAAATCCCCACAGTCTCCCATTTCCCAAATGAAACCTGGCCAGAAGCCACCTAAGCAAGCCTGTAGCTTGCCTAAGTGTAGATGTGATTGGCTTGGGTGGGGTTGGGTTCCATTTGAACGTTCCTGACAACATGAAACCTGTTTCCCAACAAACTCGCGACAGCATCGCCTCACTCGTCGATCATGGCCTCTCGACGCGTCGAATTGCAGTCCAGCTTGGCATAAGCTATAGCTTATGCCAAGCTTACGCCAAGCCACCGTATCCCGGGTGCGTTCTCAAGTCAGACCCGACGCATCAAAGAGCAATGGTGGGCGTTCATCCAAGCTTTCCGCCGCCGACAAGCACAGAGTCATCAGGATGGTGAAATCGGGTCAGGTTGACACAGCAGTGCACGCGACGAAGCAGCTCAAAAGCAGCACCTCGGTAGAATGCAGTGTCAAAACTGTTCGCAGAGCTCAGAAAGAAGCTGGTCTGAGGGCAACAACCAAGTGCAAGAAGACGTAACTCCAGCCGCGGCATATCCGATAGCGGCTAGAATTCGCCCGCCGCCACCAACACTGGACTGTTGAGGACTGGAAACGCATAACTTGGTTAGACGAGACAAAAGTCAACTTTATGAGGTCGGATGGGCGTGGCTGGACATGGAAACAGCCCGGCGAAGCCCCAGCAGAGCGACACGTGAAGGAGACCCGCAAGTATGGCGGAGGTGGCCTAATGTTTTGGGGCTGCATGATGGCCAAAGGAGTCGGGTTTGGCTGTAAAATCCAAGGAAGAATGGATGCCAGGCTCTATACAAACATCCTCGAGGAAAAATTGCTCCAGACACCGGAGCATTACCGCCTCAAAGTGGGAGAGGTGGTGTTTCAGCAGGACAATGATCCGAAACACACCTCGCGGCTGGCTCGCCAATGGTTCCAGGACCATGGAATCGAGGTCCTAGAATGGCCAGCGCAGTCGCCAGACCTCAACCCAATAGAGCCCTTGTGGCAACATTTGAAGCGGAGGCTGGCGAGGCACGAGAATGAGCCCGTCAGCATCCACGAGCTCTGGCAGCGGGTCGAGACTGAGTGGGACGCCATTCCATTCCAAACATGCTTGGATTTGATCGAAAGCATGCCTTGAAGGGTTCAGGAAGTGTTGAAGGCCAAAGACAAGCACACGAAGTAAAAATAAATTCGTTTCTTCGTATGCCTGAGTGAAAGGGACAAAACTGTTGCAATGACCTCGTTCGCTTCGAACAACTGCCACTCAGACAATAGGAGGCCATTTGACATGTGACTAGCGCCAATCGAAAGCCAGTGTATTTGTCCAATATCAAGATTTTATGAATCTGATCATTTTTGCTCGAATATACGAATTCTTCCCATAGGAAACGGGGAGCGTTTATTTTGAATCACTCCATATTTGGCCATGCAGCCTTCACAACTTCGTAGCTGTCGAAAACCCTTCTCCAAGCCGCTTCTATGGAAGGCAATACTGCAATGGAGATAAAAGTGCAAAAATTTCCGCATTTATTTCCAACAAACCAACACCCACCACCAACCTTGGAAAGCGAAGCAATAACTTGCAAAATCTCATCTTAACACGTTCGCTGCCGAAAACATTAATTTCTATGGAAGGGACAACGACGAGGTGCGCACCGACGACCCCTTGCATTTCTCAGATTTCTTTTAATTGATGAAATAATTGAAGATAATTATCATCCTAATATTTTATTTAAAAGGTCGCAGTTCCTCGCTTCTGTTGCAATGGATTGGGTGGTTCAGCCATTTTTCAGCGAGCAGAGAACTAGGATTGAAGGAATATTACGAAATTGCTAATGGCTGTTTCAAAGGAATATAAGAAACAGAATTCATGCAGGAAATGTTGAGATTTCTAGGATTACTTGTTTAGGAATTTCCCATTTAAATTTGGAAGGAAAAACTTGATGCACAATGCATGATACATTTATATATATAATAAAAATAGGCTGCCGCTTACGACTTTTTTTCATCCGCGTCTACAAGAAAAGAAGGCAGCAAAAATCTTTTCGAAACGAATTGAGAGTCCCGATTAAAAAGTTGCAATGGATTTCATCCCTTTCTCGACGGGTCGAAGCACTGGATATCCAGAAGTCCCTTACAGAATCAATGTATATGTTCTATTACATCGTAATCCATCCGAACCTGTTAATAGAGAGAAGAAAAAAAAACATTGGAAAAGGAATTTCAAAGGAGGAGGAATTCCTTGGTTGGAATCGGTACTTCTTTCACTCTCTTGACATCGACATCAGCGGAGCGGAGGATTGCATTACTTCCTCGTAACTTGGAGGCATATCACATTGGGATCTTGGAGTTCGGACCTCGAGTGGGATCAACTGAACATTCCTGTTGGATTCCTGCTGCTGCTGAAACAACCTCGATGCGTAATCTATTATTCGTCCCATTCTTGCCCGCGACGAATGCGCCCGAGCCGGAGGAGCAGGAGGAGGGACCGAAGAGGGATCCCAGAGGACGGCCTCCACCATGTCGGGACGGTCTCCCAAAGAGTCCACTTTAACGACGAACGGAGGAACACCCTGATTCGGAGCAGGGTCGGTCGTCTTTATGTTCCAGAACTTCCCCCGTATCGTTTCCAGGGCATTCCGATGCACGCGGCATTTTATCCTTTTGGCCCCTTGGGGCGTGACATCCTCGGGAAGCCCCACGTACCAGATGCGATTCAAGGCCGGGAGATCTTCACTGTCCACGAAGAGGAATGGGACGTTCGGGAACATATACAGCATTGGATCCACTCCCGCAGCACGGCACTGGATCAGAGGGCAACATCGAACGCCAAAGTATACGGCAGGTGGGAATTGTAGCCTGGGTTCGCATATTATTAAATGAGGTAAACCAAGAGCTAAAGTAGTAACTCATTCATTATATCAATGGCAATTGCGAACGATGTATGTCCCTCCTCTCCAAAAATTACACTATGCTATATCCCCACATTAATGAATAGGAATGCAGTTAAAGAGTTTTGTGCTATGCTTTGCAAAGCAATGAATAAGGATGGGTGAAAGTGTACGATTGGTGAAGAAGGGGATTTGCCTGCGTTAGGAATCGCCTGTTAATGTTTATTCCCTGAGAAACTCACATTGCACATCTACACTAGTCATCATATCTAGGTGGTCGTGGTCGTCGTGAGAGTCGAGGTGAGCATGCTCACTCCTCGGGTGGTTATCCAGTGACAATGTCCGCATACGTAAAATCTAACCTTATTATTTGAAGTATTTACGTCTAATTACTCCCTTAAATTTCTGCTTGAATGACTTATATAGGAGGACATACCAGGACCAACAAAAATTGTGTATCCTTTTTGTATACTTCTCCCCCCCCCCCCACGTTAACAATATTTTCCTATCAAAAGCGACACGGTCTCCTTCAACGTCGTCCCTTTGCGGGTCTATGCATTATTTCCAGCGATATAGAGATTTCACATCCACAGCCTGCCCTTCGGAAGGATACGCAGCTTATTTCTTATGGAACTTAATATCCTGTCCCGATCAACATATCTCTACCCTTCGACATGGGGTCGAGCCGCTACAAGAGGAAGCAGTCACCGAGAGCCAAGTCAAGTGGGAAGGGCGGTAAAATTTATCTATAAGTAGTTCTTCGTGGAAATACACGGGCACACGAATGCGTCATGAAACTATTCGCCATTTTGACATGCCACTTCACTGTAGTTGAGTCATTCAAAGCAATTTGCACCATGTGACTGTCCTTTTTCCTGCGACGCTATTTTGCCTTTAGTTTTTTTCCCTAATCGTTTGTTTATTTCCATTAGAACATACTACTTCACCTCAGCGACGTATATACTTTTTTAGTTTTCTCAATAAGAAAGTATCCCCATAGACTAGCTCAATTATAACCCCCCCCCCCCGCACCAAAAAAAAACCCGGAAAATTGAGGAAATAGGAATGCAACCCGCACACCTTCAACTACACCGAATTCCTCCTCCAAGTTCCACGATCGCGTAAAAGAAACGATAATCAGCAAAATAATGCCCCGAGACCCACACTCGACGCGCGTTCATACCTAAAAAGAACTCAACGTACTACAACGTTCACTCACCCTAGGTTTTCTGTATCGTATATCGAAACTGTCGAAGATGTAAGCCACCAGGAAGACAGCGAGAGGCCCCACCACAATGAAGGCCATGGAGACATACCCGACCGTTTCGCCTCCCATGGTGAGTCGAATGATCATCCCGGCGATCCCAAGCAACACCGCGACCAACATCAAGTACCGCCACTTCACCTTTCTCTTGTGGAAGCGCCTCCACTGCTTGTAGTCCTCGGGGCTCATCCTCCCGACATCTCCGGCAGGATTCGCTGCCTGCGGTTCAACCCTCGCTATGAGCCTCTGATCGCACGAGTCTAAGCGCCATCACTTCACGCTGTGGTATATCTGTTGGGAAAAAGTTCCGATAAGAGCAACTGATAGCTCCAACTTTACATGAGCAACTCCCCCTCTTTGTTTGAATTGAATTTTTCTTGTTCAATGCTTTTTTCTTCACCCAGAATTCCACACGATCCTTACCCCGGTATTACGGGGAGTTAGGATCTAGTTTCGGCGGCCCCCTGATTGATCTTAGATGCAGTCCCCTTCGACCGTCATGCTTAGTAGTCAGGCCATACTGATGCATCGGCTACCTCCGGTATCGGCCCGGTTGCGCTATCGGTGCCGTTCGCCATCGTCCGGTTTGCAAGCTATTGATGCGAATGTCTAAAGAAAAGTCTAAACTTGCCAACCTCTTATCCGACTTCGACTTTTTATTCGAATCCCTTGCACGGTCTTATATACACTCCTAGAAAATTCCAAGCGTTTAGGGAATAAAAAGTGAGCATTACGTGAGTTATTTCAAATGTTCTTTCTTATTACTTACCTAATCCTCTCTCATCGCTCGAAGTGAAGTGAACATGTTGGAGCTCTTCGCCAGGCCACTAGATGGTGGTGAGGGTCTCGCCTTTCCCTCAGCACACAAAAGTTCTCTTCCCTCTATCTCTGGAATCGTCCCTCGCAGGATTGTTAAGTACCTCGAGATATGTCTCGCCTAGTTTCATTATAGGTATCATTAAACACGGACTTTCCATAATTTCTTATCCACATATTCAAGACAAATTCATTGAGCACAGGCCATAAGCAAGCTCATATTCCTGATGAGAACCCTTTGGAATCTCGGAAGATTTTCACATGCAATGGAGATCTACAATACTAAGAGAGCGTTCATGAATTCAATCCTATCAATTCCTCAAGTTGTTGAGAGAATGAGGAAATGAAGGACTGATATAGCAGACTTTTCATGGAACCGTATGAGATAGTCCATACTCTGACATGTATTGTAATCAGTACTGTCAGAGGCAGGTTAATACCTGTACTGTACGAGAGCGAAAGCGACACAAAGTATGTATGAGGATTTGCATGACATCCTTATCTCTTTCTGAAGGGAGTGTTTTTACTCATGAAGAAGGAGAGCAATGGTGATGGAGCAAATTCGCTCCTTTCCCAGGGTGAAAGGGGAGTCAAGGTGGAGTTAGCGATTTTACTCTCTTTTTTGAGAAAGATCTCTCGAGTCCCTTTTTTCTAAGAGTGTAGTTTCGCACTCCGGGGCTTGCGTGCCTTAACCAACCCTCGGGTCTGGATGTTCCTCTTTTTCACGGTGAGGTACAGGACTTCCGGGAAACATATACGGCGTTGGATTCTCTCCCCCAGCATTGGATCAAAGAAGAAAAAATGGCAGTCGCAAATAATACATCAGTCATTAACTGGATTCATATATTTCATCAAATGAAGTGTACCAAAGAACTGTAATGAAAACTAGTGTTGAAGCCAACAAATGAAGCTCACAGACACCCAACCCAAGCCCTGGTGACCAACTCGATTTGGCGGGGATCAAATTAATTGCTTCAGGAGTGTTTTGGAGGACTCACAAACGAATCTCACACCACTTTTCTAATGCGAACAAGTGAAATTTTCAGCAATTTTCCGAAATAAACTCTTAAAAGAGGAAATCGCGAGCCGGAAAAAATAAATTGATGGGTCGGATCCGGCCTGCGGGCCGCCAGTTAGACTTTATTATTCATTTTATTTATTTTTATTATTTATTTTTTTATATTATTTGTATTATTATTTTTTTATTTATTTTTATTTATTATTATTATTTTTCTTATTTTTTATTTTTATTTTTATATTTATTTATTATTTTTTTTTTAGTATAAACGTATTATAGATGTAGTATTAAATTTGTTCTCCATAGAGGAAGGATTGCAACACTCATGAAAGTTGAAAATGAATCCCCAACGTGTGCGTATGGAAACTTGGGTGAGGACGGAGATCGACCATATGAATGGATTTCCCAAGAGATTGCTAATTTCGCCTGGGGCGACGCCGACGGCGATGCCTGTCGACAAAAATCAATGCCGTCTTGAAAAGAGGCTGCGACTTTTACGCTCGAGGGTGGTCATGATCACCCTTAAGGGTCCGCGATCACACCTTTATCATTTGCAATTCTTATTGATACGAGTTCTCTCTTGGCCGCCAGGCGAAGCTGGTCAATGTCCGCTCATCACCAGAGCTCACTCTCGCGGCGATAAGCAGAGCTGCTTCATCACATATGAACCAAAAAAATTCGCGCGATACTAATATTGAAGCAGCGCTCCAGAGACCGATCCTTTCTTCGGGCTATTGCTCCGGGTGCCTTGCCTTGCCTTTGACTGCCAAGGATTTAAATTCCCAGCTAACCTCTCTCCATACCAATCAAGGCAGGGGAAGTTCGTCGCACGAACGGCAGTGAGAGGGTTCATTGCGCCTTCCCGTGCGAGTCCCATTGCCTCCGTGGGACGGCGACGAGCAATCGGGCGAATTGGCCTTGTCATCGGTTTCTCCGGTTGTCGAGAGTTTTGAAGGGTGAGGCCCTCACTCACCAATGAACTCAACTCGGGATACTCCAGAGGGAGGGGGGTAGGTGACGTTGTTCAGAGCGAGGTCCCCGTAAATCCGATCCTTACAATTTCTGATCGGTTGGAGCCGGGCTCAGGTGAATCTTCTTTCATCCTGTTCCTTGCCGGTTGCAGCCGGAACTCACGGAAACAGCAAGGACGAGCTCGAGCAAATTCAACTATGAAGTTGGCTGGTAAGTCTACCGCCTAGATTCAGGCACGAGGGCTTGGAGGGTAAGGCTCTACAACCCTAGGTGATTTGCACCACTCCCTCGCGCTTAACCTCTAAACAACTTCATTCAGGATACCGGAGAAGGCATTCCTGACTACAGACATAAGGGTGGTACACGGAGACCCATCCTTCCCTCTACACATCAGATATAGGCATAATAACAGTCACCGGTTTGTTCGTAGTAAATAACGCAGCGCCAGAGGCGCCATCTCACGTCAACCAAGGAAATACACATATTCATGGATCTGGGCTATGAATAAAAAACACTGTACAAGTAAATACAATTGGAGAACATAATATAAGCATCGTTATAATATTTAATGCGCTTAAAAAAGGGAATAGAATGGACATTGCCATTTACAAAAAAAGGAAAAGTTTCAAAGAAATTCTAATTCAAGAAATAAAGGGTCAATTCATCTCGGACTTTGTAAATGCATTTGCAGCCAGTGCAATCATAAGGCAAGGTTACCAACATGGATTTTAAAAATTACCATTGTAATGGTAATCACATCATATTCAACGACATCGTCTCAAAACACTGTTAATTGTAGTAAGATTAGAGTAATAGGTATTGCAATCAAGCTCATAATCATTATACTAAGCACCTTATTCCTTATATTCACCGTATACCTCATACCTTATTATATTCCTTATTATACTCACCTCATCACCCTTATTCATACCTTATATTCTCACCTTAATGACCTCAGCAACTGCATTCGACCAGGCCAAATCAAGACTTTCTCCCAGAAAGGAGTTGATCTGATTCCTAGTATCTCGTCCATAGCATTGGAGATAATGCCTCTTCCATGGGCCGCCAAGTCATTGCAGGTGTGCAAAACTCTAATCTAATCATGGTCTAGACTTACTATCGCAGGGGAGGAGATAGCGTGTGCCTGGCTGCTACAAAACGGGTAACTAGGTTCTTTTCGGAAGCGAAGGATGCGCTTTGGTGCCTGGGCTCAGCGGCAGCGGTGAGGACTCACTTTGCAGCGGTGAGCTGCGAATTTTGGCTGCTGTAGCTGAGTGATATTTGGATTAAATTTGATACTGAAATTTGAAATTTGATGGTTGACTAGATTTGACCGGCGCAGTGGCTCCCTCTCCAATATTTCCTCAGAACGGGGGAACTTTTCTCAGAATCTATGTTGAGATGTGTCTGGATCGGAGAGTCAAAAATGTTAATCTCGATCGCCTACTGATGCGTCCACTGCCTTAGTCCCTCTCAAAGACGCCTTTCCATCCATTAACCCATTGAATTATTAATTTCTGAACAAAAAATTTGCATCAGATGCAAGCCACCAGGAAGACAGCGAGAGGCCCCACCACAATGAAGGCCATGGAGACATGCCCGACCGTTTCGCCTCCCATGGTGAGTCGAATGATCATCCCGGCGATCCCAAGCAACACCGCGACCAACATCAAGTACCGCCACTTCACCTTTCTCTTGTGGAAGCGCCTCCACTGCTTGTAGTCC